CAAGTTTGTACACGTATAATTCTTTTTTTTTGTTTATATTTTGAAATAACTGTAGTCATTAAAAGCTTTGCGGTGGGTGAGCTGCTTGAAGAGTATTTAATTTTGCTAGAATATATATAATTAAAACAAAGTTGGCATTTTGACTTCCGAGTAAAGAGAAGATTGGACAGAACCCTAAATAAATGTGCATTTACCTGTGTTGTCTTTGCTTATCTTGTATAATCTGGAGATGCCCTACATCTCCTTACGAACTCCCTGGAGGGAAATTAAACACTGACACACACAAAGTTAAGAGAACGTTCACTGAGAATTATTTCAATTTATACAATGTAGGCCTTAGTAGGAAAATATGTAGCATGGTATGTAGAAAATTTGGATATCAAATTTGGATAGTCATTATTTTTATGTAAAAGTTATAACTCGAAATGGGCACAAGCTAAATCCTTCACATCAGGACAAGATTGAGTAGTTAAACAATGTGGGTTGTAAGAGCACTAGAAATTCGACAGTGGGAGGGAAACTGGTCTGTTAGCCCAAACTCATCGGCGCAGAGAGCCGGGAGCACCGCGGGAGGCTGGCCTCCAGCGTCCTGTGCTGTTAGGTAGTTAGGGTGCTGTGAACAAAGGGCGACAAAAAATGAAGACACCCCCCCCCCGAAGACCTCCCTGAGACCCCTGTTTGATAGTTAGAAATCACCCCCGCACCCTGAGGAACAAAGTAGAAAGTCCTAAAATGCCAGCCGGCTTAATCCAGCACAGTCCGTCATACCCTAACCACCCCATGACCTGGCCTCATTATGCCATCGTTATAATATCAGGCCTATGCCCAGACGCTCATGACGCTAATTGTAAGACTGAATTCTGGGTAACCACATGCACATGGGCAAAGGGTTATCTAACAGCCAAATGTCAATCAAAATGACCTCTCATGCAATAATCTAGCACCGGCCCTGGAACCGCCCGCCACAGCCCCGGCGTGAGCTCACTTCCTGACTTCCACACTGTCCCTCTTCGCTGCCCCTCTTCCTCTTGGAGAATGCTTTCATCAAACCCGTTTCGCTCTTGAAACGTATCTTAGCATGGGCAAAGGGTTATCTTACAGCCAAATGTCAATCAAAATGACCTCTCATGCAATAATCTAGCACCGGCCCTGGAACCGCCCGCCATGGCCCCGGCGTGAGCTCACTTCCTGACTTCCACACTGTCCCTCTTCGCTGCCCCTCTTCCTCTTGGAGAATGCTTTCATCAAACCCGTTTCGCTCTTGAAACGTATCTTACAAATCTGACTTTCTAATTCTCACTGATCGGTCGTTCCTTACCGTATCAGTGGGGAGGAACCGAGGTGCCCCTCAGTGCTAGTGGGGTGTGACAATTTCAAGTTGCCCCAGCAGTGACGGGAACAGTGCTGCCAAACCTATCACCGCCTCAGACCTCCAGAACGCGAAGCCTTCACACCGGAAAGAAAGGGTTACAGTGCGCTCTGCACTGGATTACGTGCTTCTGTAAGAGTAAAATTATTTTAAGTGAATTTAGAACTGTTACTCGGAACTTACATACTTGGGACACTGAAATGGCCAAGGGTGACGTCACGCAAGCAGCAAGAGTGCCAAGAGCCTGCGTGTCAGTGTAAAGGCCGCTCCTCAGACACGCTGGGGGCAGGGCAGGGGGCGGCGCACGGGGCACCGTGTGCCAGGCACATGGACCCTCTCAAAGCTTTGTCATGTCGCATCTAAGGGGACCCTGTAAAGGGACTCCTAGCAGCCAAAGGAATGACATTTAAGCCAAAAGAACAATCATCGTAGCTGATAAAAAAACGTTAAATCTATAAAAATTCATGAGTCTAGTATCATCCACACACACACACAAAAAAAAGCCAGAAAACATTTCAAAATGATTTGTTACAACTGAAATAGCTATTGAGCCAACCCCTCACTTTTAACCCCGGGTAGGAAAGGAAGGAGCTGAGCTGGCCTGCCTTGCCAGCCGGCCCGTGTGGGGGGACGAGGTCCTCGTCGGGGGAGGCGTCTGCCCTGCGGAAGGCTGCCTGGGACCTGGAGACGCTCCGTGTCCCACCGCCTGGCGGAAGCACACGCCTACGTGGGAACGGATCCCGCTTCTGCATCCTGCCTCTGGTGGCCTTTCCGAGCACCTGAGGGCTGTCTGAGCTGGGGTGACCAATGGCAGCACTGCATCCTACTGCCCGGGGACATTTGCTTAATACTCATGGGTGAGCCAGACTTTGGCCCGAGACCAGCTTTCGTAATGAAGTCAGGGGGCAGCTACTCCCCACTCAGCTTTTCTGTGGTCACTGTCACATCCTCTGCCAACAGCACCCCTGGGAGTCCTGAGGGCCACCCTGGCTCAGGTCACCCTATCACCCCAGGCGAGGACAGAGGGACAGCACCTGCTGTCTGCTCAGCTCACTCCCCGAGGCCACTAAGCAGCCCAGGGCTGCATCCCAGCTCACTGGGGCTTTGCTTTTGAGGATGCAGTTTTGTTAGGCATTCGAGCGGATCAGCTGACTTCTAAGCAGTCCGATGCCATGTCAGGGAGGGTGTCAGGACCACAGATGCTGTCGGACTGGTGCTTAGTTCTCTCCACTGTCTGTAGTGCTAAGCACGTGCACACGCGGAAGAACACCTGGGCCTAAAGGCAGAGCTCGGTCTGGCTGTGGGGCAGGGGGCGGGTGTGGGGGGCTGGGAAGGAGGCAGCAACCCTGACCCACTGGAGGGGAGGGGAGGGGAGGGGAGGTGACTTATGAAACAGAAGGACAAAAGGCCATTGACTTCTCAACTACTTCCTGCCCTGGCAATGCTCGCCATGCAGCCCAGGAAGTTCCTGGGTGAGGACTCACAGCCGTGCTGGGCATTTTTGGCAGGGAGGACTTCACTCACCATTGTCACCTCTGCCCGCGAACTTAATATAACAAAGACACCAACATGGCCCTTCGGGGTCGACAGTTGCTGTCAACTTCATCTTGAAAGTTAGTCACAACTCATTTGTGTCTTTGAACTCTCAATTTGAAATAAAAAGTATTTGGGGCCCTGGAGTATTATTTTTAGAGTGTTCTATGGGGAAATTTAAAATTTTGGATACGTGTCATTGGGCGTTTAAAGTATCAAGGTTTGCGTCAGTCCAGCCCTGTGTCCTCACATAACTTCAGTCCAGCGGCTACTGCAGCTCCCGGCGCCGACTCCCTGCCCTGGTGGCCGTAGTGACGGGGCCGGCAGCGCTCTGGCGAGGCCCAGGTGCTGACCGCGTCTGGGGCCAGCGGACCCCCAGTGTCTCTGGAAGCCAAGTGCTGCGAGCCCAGGATGAACGAGCAGCCCAGGGCCTCTGCCCACGTCCGGCGAGCGTGACGCGGAGCTGCCGGCCCGTCGGCTGCGGGAGGCCGTCACTTACACGCTGACCGTCCAGTCGGTCTCAGCGCCCTGTCTACCAGTGGACAACGGATATGGCAATTTTAAAGCAACCAAGAACCTTGAAAAAGCCCTGCTGTGCAAGAACATCTGGCACGTGGGTGTCAGCGACACCCAGACGCCCCCCCACTGTGTTCCATCGTCCTGGGCCTAGGCTTTGTCCCTGCCGAGTCCCCAGGCCCCGCACGGGGCCAGGAATAAGCAGTCTGCCTCAGCGCCCCGTGTGCCTGGGAAGGGCGAGCTCGAGGCCCGGCACGCACACAGCGGCGGCCACACCTGGTGCAGCCACACCTGCTGCGGCCACACCTGCTGCGGCCACATGCATGCGCTCGCCGGCAGGCTTCCCTCACGTCGGTGGCAGCTTTCACAGGGCAGAGAGGCCCTTCGCTGCCTCTCGGAATCTCGTCAGGCGAACCAGGAGAGGGCTCCGAGCCGGCCCGCTGACACCACCCTCTGCTCCCGGGCCCCTCGGGTGACACCACGGGCCTGCCCTTAGAGAGCTAACCCACCCTCCCCATGGAGGAGGGGAAAACTCCTTGCTCCTTGCAGGTGGGACGTGGTTTCTCCAAGGTGACCAAAGGAAATCCCGAACCGCAGAAGTCACAGTGGCTTGGGTGGCAGTGTCAGATGCCACTCCAGGTGCCCTGGGCAGCTGGATCTTTTACAGGTATCGTTGCTCACGGGACCAACGAAGCAGAGCACACGGTTTTAACATAATAAACCAGCCGAGGCTCTGACCCCGAGCTCCTTTTCCCCAGCCTCAGCTTTGGCTGGCCGTGGAGGAAGGAGACTGGGGCTTGGGACCACACCGTCCCGAGGGGCCCCAGGGACCAGAGGCAGCAAAGCAACAGGGCCGGGCAGGAAGGGGCCTTGGCCTGCCAGCGCTTGGTGTCTCCCAGCCTCTTGGCCCTGGCAAACGGAAGCGGCCAGGCCCGCTCGCCTCCTAGGGCTGTGCAGGGCCCCGAGGGAGCACGCCTGGACGTGCTCTGTAAACTACCCAGCACCTTCGAAGGGAAGAAGAGAAAGTGACAGGGGGAAGTGTGCAGAGGGCTCGGCAGACTGAGGGTGCTCCCAGCAGGTACACACCCCGTCGGCTTCACGTCTGCTGCCCCCACCGTCACGGCCACCGACGAGCAGGTGGTGCCGATACTCGCAGAGAGGCCTGACCACGTACCTGTACTCAAGGACTGGGCCGCTCTGCGTACTCCCGGAGCCGTCCAGGTCCACAAGCTCCATCGCTTCCAGGGCCTCGACCTGCTGCCCAATGCAGTGGGGTGATGGGACCGCCACCCTGACAGCTTTCTCCCGGAAACGGAAGTGCAGGGCACTTCCCGGGCTGCCGGAAGCCAGGTGCTGCTGCTATGTGTCAGGAGCAGTGTTAGGGTGCGTTTCCTCCCGTCTGCCCCTGAGAGAGGGGACGTGCTCTGGAGAGCGGGGACTGTCAGCGCAGCCCAGAGACTGCCCTTCCCAGCGCCTCTCCCGCATCGCGATCATTTTCAAAAGTTCATTTTACACCGTAACTATCTTTTTAGGAATCTAATTCTACGATTTCTTAAAAACGTGGCAAGATATTTAATCATTCTCAATGGACACATGTTTCAGTCGTTTATTGCCATGAAGTCAGAGCGCTGCAGCACGCGCACTGCGTGGGACACACTTGCTCAAGCAGGGGTGACGAGCTGCTGCATGCGGCCAGCTGCCAGTCGTCTCGTGATCGCTAAAGTCAAGAGCTCTGAGTGCTTAAGAGCTGAGAGTTACAAACCTTGTTCTCTTCAGTTTTCATTAACGAATCCTGGTAACATACATGTTACTGCAGATAAAACCATCATTGGGAATCACTAAAATCATTGCATATTTCGAGCTAGTCTTTATGAGAACTAAAACATTCAGCACTTGTAAGGCAGCCGAGCACTGGCTTACGGACTCTCGGCCATGTCTACAAAAATGGTCTGCTTAGTAAAAACAGCCTTCCGCATGTCTTCCTCAGCAACCCCATCATGAAGCAATCCTGACTCAGCAGCAGCAGGTCGCAGCCTCCCCTTCAAAGAGTCAGTTCTCCAGGTCCATTGTTACGCTGATGCCTTTTTAGTCAACCTGGAAATAAACGCAAAGAAAACTTCAAGGAGAAGGTTTCACTGCCAAACCTCAAAGGCCTTGGGCCACTTTTACATAGCATTTTGACATACGCTCTGACATAAACGGTAACATCCTACTTCGTGTTTTAATACGTGGATCTGCACTGCATTGCATTAGCTGCCCAGTCACCTTTTCAAATTCAACAGCATGTTTTCGATCTGAATCAGTTTCCCCAACTGCTCGCACACATCTGTGCACACTCGCTCTCGGCCCAGCCCCTAGTGCCTCTTAAGATGAGATTTGGCTCCATTCGCCCCAACCCCTGAACAGGAAGGATGCACTCGGCATGGCTTACTCGTGCTTGATGAGCCGTCCGCCCTGGATGAGCTGGGCTACTTCATTTGTGGCATGGCACGCAAACAGGAGCCAGTTGCGAGGCTGCACCTTGTAGGCGAATCTCATGAATGCCAAGGAATAACAGCAGAGGGCTGCCAGTCGTCAACCGGAAGGAAAGCGGTCATTTACAATTTAGAAGACTCAGAACAGACAGCACCCAGATCAACTGTCAACTGCCTTAATCAAAAAAGGAATCTCTCCTGCGGGTCCGTGCCTCGCGCCGAGTGGGGGCTCATCCAACACTGATGCTACGGCAGACACTTTGTACCTGTGCCCGGACGTCTCGGAAACGAAGCGTCAGAGGGAGTGGCACACGGCAGTGCCTGCCACTTCGCTGTCCCCTAGAGCTGCTTACAATCCACTACCTGAAGGAAATGCTATGTAATCCCAACAGTTTTATGGTTAAATATCAGGGTTTCAAGTAAACTTAATGACACTTTTTCCAAACAGAGTTCAAGGGGACACATTTTTCAACCTAAAATCTAAAAGGCGAAACAGGACCTTAACTCTTTCTAGATAATCGCCGTTTTTCCTTACCGCGGAGAAGTGACACTTCCGGTGTGTCATGTTCTTGGTTACTTTCTCACGGTGACTGTACTACCTGACCTGGATGCAGGAGCTGTCACAGTTACACAGACAAAAGTCCTCTCAGGTGCTCAAAGGCGCACTTACCGAATGTCATCCGCCCACTGATGATCTCTGGGGACTTCTTCATGTCATTGATGGCGGCGACGGGAAGACCCCAGTTGGCTACGGGGCCCCAGAAGTGCTGCAGAACACGACACAGGGGAAGAGCAGGCGGAGCAGTGAGCGGCCGCGGCTCCTCGCGCCCCCTACCCCCGTGGCCCGCCACTGGACCGGGCGGCGTCCCCCTGCTCGCGGGCTGCACTGTGAATGGGCAGTTCCCACAAGGTGAGCCCAGAGCTAGAAGGATCTGGCCATTTACCAAGGTCCTACTGACTTTCAGATTACCACCAAGTAATCTGATTGTCCCATTTAGAGAATTTTAAAAGATTAACTTCTTATATGATTTACTCCAGCCGCAATTTAAAACCCGTGATAACTAGTCTTCGTAATGTAATGTCTAAATCAAAACTTCTTTCTTCAAATTTTCATTAAAATATTTGTCAACATCTCTTAAAATGCAGACCTAAATTGGACATTTTTTCTGAGGAGAGGAACTTAGTAAGGGAAAAGTTGTTTTTAGCTCAGATCAGAAAAACTGCAAGTGTGCAGTCAGAACGCCAGGTAGCTAGAAATCGAGACTGGGAAACTTTTTGCAGTAACAGCAATGACTTAAATTTAAGAAACGGCCGCGTTTCAGACATCGAAGCCGCGTCTGTGCAGTGGCGCCCGGCTTCACGCAACCTGCGAGGCTGAAACAAGGCCGTGGCTTCTCCAGCAAACCGAACCGTGTCTGTCAACGCAGGACTTGCTCACGCAGGACTTGCGAATGCCTGAAGAGATCAAGACCGCACCCCGCGGGCTGGACGCCCTTTCCCGCATCGGGGCGTCAGATGTGCAGCAGCTGGGGCGGGTGGGGGCTGCGGAGTGCACGTTCCAGTGGTGCATTTTTAATACTGACCAGTAATCAAAACCCCAAATTCCGTAAGTAGGAAACCGGGGGAGATACAAGAAAATAAACTAGAAGCACGTTTGGCGTGGTACAAGGACCCCGTGACGCGTTTACCTAACGTGCTCCCACGCACGAGGCCAGGCCCGACACGGCCAGACCGTCAGCGCCCCGGGCTGACCCCCCCGCAGGGACCCTGTGCCTCACGCCCAGCTGGCACGGACAATCTGTGGGGTTGTGGGGTGGCCAACTAGCCCCCCTGTCGTCGGGCTGGGCATGTTCGGAGCACAATGCGCCCTGCCGGGACTGCGACACTTCCCACGCCCAGGAGCGGGACCCTCCCTTCTGCCTGCGCGCCCCCCCCACCCGCCCCGTGTCTTCTGGGGTCGCTTCGCCTTCAGCTCTGGCTACTCTAGAGTGACCGCCCTTTCCTCCTTTTCTGACAAGGCCTTTGTCCACCTGGGCCTCCTGTCACTCTCCTCCAGGTCCTCTCTTCCCACGGCTCAGCCCCGCACGGGGGTCCTGGGCCTACTTCGCGTGCACAGAGCCTGAAGGGGGACTCTCGAGGGGGGACGAATGCTCTCCTCTCACAGGGGGGCCAGGCATAGACCGTGCGTTGCGTGAACACTTAAGGAGAGCTGGGGGACTTGTCACACGATGGTTGAAAAGTTTCAGCGTGATGAGCATTGGCGTGGATGAAGCAGGCCTCTGCAAGGTGAGGACTGGGCGTGCGCTGTCCTTAAAATACACTTCTAGAGAGTGTGCCCGGGTAAAATGATTTAAACGCTAATTTACTAAGATGTCTAACCTCAGAGAGCTCACCACATCCTCTCTGTCTAGTACAAGTGCCTATTCTCTCTCCTCTCACGAAGTGCATGTTTGCTCTACGCTCTGTCTGATATTCCTCAGTTTCTAGAAAAATAAGAAATTTCACGGTTACTATCTGAAAGGAGAAAATGAACATTTCGGATTAAATGGGCAAATACTTTTGCTCCGTTATGACTCTTCACTGTGAATAATAGAACAGGGCCGTGAGTGAGCAGCCTGTGGTCCACCCCCCGGCCGGGGACCTCTGTGTCTGTGTCGTCAGCCGTCAGGCTAGGGCCGGCACTACCAGTGAGGACATCACACCACGCGCGTGGACGCGCTGGTCCTTCTGAGACGTTCACTCTGCAGTGCACTGGGAGAACCAAGGGGACACTGGGGGCGCACTGGCCCCTCGTCACTGGTCACGCTGGCTGGTCATGCCACCCCAGGGGAAGGGAGCCAGGGCTGCTCCCTTCTTAGTTACGCGGGAAGTCTGCGAAAGCCCGAAAGGGAGGAGAAACACGCTTCTTACCGTACTATGTGTGAGAATCCGCCGAGGTGCGCACGGGCGAACATGCAAAGAAAAGAGAGAGCAGAGGTCAGAGGTTTTCAGAGGCGACGGTCCCGCCACCACCTCCGAGTTCCGGCTCCACATGGGACGTCGGCGTGAGCGGCTCACACCTCCCTTTTTCTCTTGAAAATGGCTAGTGCTATTTGTAATGACAACTTAGCCCTAAGGAAATTAAACCTGAATTTCAGGAAGAATAACCTTAACCCTTAGAGCGCAGTCCTCCGGCGGAGAGGCAACGCAAGTCACAAACAGGCGCTACATATGTGATTTTAAAATTTCTGAAAGGAAAAAAGAAAAACAGAGGCCAATTTTATTAAGTTTATTTACTCCGACCTATCAAAAGTATTTTCAATTGAACGCATAATCGATGAAAACTTATTAACGAGGCATCTTATATTCTATTTGGTACCGAGTCTCCGAGGCCTGGTGTGCGTTGACGTGGCACATCTCAGTCTAGACTGGCCCCGTTTCAAGCGCTCCACTGCCATCGTGGCTTGTGGCGCTCAAACTAGACAGCACAGGCTTATGGGAACCATTTCTTTACGAGTGACAAGCTGGAGAGAAGCACAGTGCTGCGGAATTCCAGCGACGATGAGCTTCCCCTTTCCCTTGCCCACGGGCACGGAATCCTATTTCTGTCTTCTATGGACTGTGGAGGCTCAAGCAGCGCCCCCACGGGGCATTCGATACAGTATCTGCTGCACGAATGAACAGAAAGACTTGCAACGTGAAGTGAACTGTTTTCCTGAACATTGAACTTCATACCATTCAAAAAGATATCGAAAGTTTTATAGCGAATTACTTTTATTTCTAAAATGCTAATTATTCTTGCCAGGATATAGCTCGATTGTTCTGTTAAGGTGAACTCTGAACGTTTAGCTACTGAGTTACTGAAATAAAACGGTGACATCTCTCACGCACACGCTCACATCCCAGCGACCCTTCCGGATGTCTTCAGAGGTTGTGGAGGTTCTGATGGACAGCACGAAACTATCTGCTGACGGTGCTAACGACATATACGCTTCGGACAGGCTCCGGCATGAACTGTCAAAAGCCTAGAAAGGGCCTGTCTCACAGATTCCGTTCCCAAGACCGCGTTTACGCAGCGGGTCAACAGCCCCACGGGCCAGAGGACACCTACCGTGTCCTTCTGCTCAGAACACCTCGGTTCGGGACGGGACACAGGCCTTTTACCGAACTCTAAGTTAGCAACAGCACTTTTTTTTTCTTACAAAAATATATAAAAGGATGTAGTACTGAAAATCTAAAATGTCAACTTGGAGATAATTTAGTTTTCAATTCAAGACTCTGAATTCTTCTTGAATTGTATGTACAAAAGTTTAAATTCTACCCTATTTTACAATAGGTGATCTCAGTACGAACATAAAGGGATGTGGAAAGGGGCCTCTCTGCATTCATGTGCCGCTCAACTGAAAAATCCTACCTGGAAACGATCGCAAAAACGTCGAACACTTTACATCAATAGTGATTTAATGACTGTAGAACGACTTGAGAATAAAGTCATTTTCTAAACATCCCTGGTAAATACAAAACCCCACAGTTCAACAGCCCTTAACTCTGTCAGAGCTGTCTAAAACGTGAATCAACTACCCGGTCAAAAAATCTAAAAATCACACTTGTGCAGAGCCAAACTAGGAAAAGAAAAAAAACAAGCTTCTTAGTACGTTAAGTGTCTGTTCCAAAGAAGGATAAATTTATAAGCAACGCGCAAACTGCAATTAGAGGACAGTAATGCAAAACTGTAAAAACATCCTTATTTTCCATTTGAGATGCTGCCTTTATCCCACTGAAGGTTAAACGAGGATTCCAAAACCCTAAACCTATGGGAAAGGTTTTCCTGAATTCACTCGTGACCCGAATTCTCACGGAGGAGAAACGGACCTTCCCGGCTGAGAATGACCGTGGAGGTGAAGGAGGAAGCACCATAAAATAAACTCGATCTTGTTTTTCTCCTTAACTTGCAACCATGACTGGTGGGTTCAAGGTCTCTTCTAAGGTCATTTTCCTTCTCACAATGTCGCGTGGGCACTGCCGATCTCGGTCTCTTATTTCCCTAAAATTACTGCCAGTAATTGTTAGCTTTCTCTGACAGCACTGTGAGTAATCCGGGCAAATTAGAACTTGCTTGTGCAGTGCTAACTGGATCCCACTGGCGGCCTAGCACAGGCTATTTATAGCACCGCTTAAAGTGGGGCAAGGCTTTGACACATTCCAGATGCAGGCCTCTTGCAGGCTGACGACGTTCAGCTGCATTTCACTTATTTGCACCAAGTTTTGTCTGATTTTCTAGTTCAAACTGAAATGAGGGAGAACTTTAACAGTCAGAACGGGTGACATTCGACGGTACTTAGCTGGTCAAACCAAACTGGATGACGGGAAAGGGCCTTCTGACAGCCAGTTCTGCTCCAACACCTGCAGCTTTGTTCCATCGTGACAGCCAGTTATACTGCGGCCGCAGGCCTAGGGCCGGGCGCGGGAGCAGCACAGCGGAGAAGACAGCTCGAGCGGGGAAGGCGCGCAAGGAGGACCTGAAACCTCGCTTCCCTTCAAAGCCACGCTGTGCGCTACTATTTCCTGTAAAGTCTAAAGCCACATTTCTGTTTTGGCCTCACGAGCTGGGTGTGCAGAAGGCCTCAGGTTTTCTGCGTGGCCCAGACACCAGTGTTCGCACGAGGCAGGTGAGGCGCTGAAGTCAGGATCTGGCTTCGAGGGTCAGTTCCAACTCTAACAATCAGGGAAAGGTCCCCTGGTCCTCCACTGCGACCTCCCACCTGGTTCATAAGTTTAAGTCCCGAAAGCTCTCCTGGAAACGTGAAGTTTAACTTAGAGCAGCACTCCCTGTCAGCTGGAGAACGTTCACTGCGAACGCCCTAACGCAAGGTCTCGAGCCCGCTGGGTGACTGGCTTTAACATACTCCATGATCCGGGTTCTGCTAAAACGTTCTTCGGCCGTATGTCCGAAAGCATAAGTGCAAACGTATGTCCGGTCACAGCCCTCAGAGGGGCAGAAAATCTCTAGAATCAATCCGGACAAACTTGATTGACTCGATCATTAAAATATTATGTCCTGCCTCAAAACGAATTTGCTCATTCTTACTTCTTCTTAACCACAATTCGGGAGAGAGAAGGAAAGGAAAGGAGAGAAAAAAATAGCTCTCTACTTTTACTCCATCAGTAAGATATGGGAGGAAATAGTTTCTTTAAAACTATTTATGTGAGAGATCCAGGAAGTTCTGGATTCAAGATCCTCAACGAGGTAGGAAGAAACGAGCGAGCAGAGGTGGAAGGCCCCAGCGACAGTGCCAGGAACCAGGTACTCTCTAAAGTACCCTGCACAGACTACTAAAAAATGGACCGAACGCGTCCTTTTGTCAAGCACAGTGCTGTGTCGCTAACTGCCGAAGCACAAAGGCTCAGTCAAACGTGACCGAGACCACACAGCTCAACAGCAACAGGCCTGGGATGCGACCCGTCACTCAAACTCATCCCTAGGTTTAACAGTACCATCATCGCACCTAACAAAAACTGTCAATAATTACTTGGCGTGACTTAACACGGACGCCCTGTTCAAATGTCCCCAGTTGTCCTGGTAATGCTTTCGACAGCTTTTTTTTCCCAGACCAGTTCCAAAGTTCACACACTGCCTTCGGTTAGAGCCTGTTCTCTTAACTCCTGTTTCTTGGTTAAAAAAAAAAATTATCGACGTTTTAAAAACACTTGGAAATCCACTTTAATAAGAAAGACATTTCAATCTTATTCGTAAATATGATTAACAGTTTATAATCTGTGTGAAACTGGATTTTAAATTTTTGCTGAAAAACTCAACCACGTTGCTATTAAAATGACTTTTCTGAATTCCAGAAGGGCTTCAGTGCGGCGAAGCCCTCCAGCCCTGGAGAGCCGGGCTGGCAGGGAAGGCATGGCACAGAGCAAGGCGCCCACGGGGGGAGGGGACACAGAGCCTCACTTGACATTTCCTTCTTCATGCTTTATTCTCCTCTGCAAAAGCAAGCAGGGGCTGGGAGCGAGCATGGACGGGCAAAGGGAAACGTCTCCTCTGATAAGTTCTAGAAAGAAAGGTTTCTCTTTCTAGGGGAATAAAGCTAAAAACAAAAGCTTCTGGTGAGAATTTTGATACCAGAATTCAAACCACTCTCAATCTATGATTGGCAGCCACAGTGTGAAATTCTGTTGCCAAGGGAGGCAGGGAAAACAAGGTCTCTTAAAACAATTAAGTCGGTCAAAGCTTAATTCAATTAAAGTAATACTGGAGGAAGAAAGTACACAAATATTAAAACTACGTGAAGTGAAGTTAACCTTTACCTCTTTACCACACTATTAACTACTGAAAAAGACATGCTTCCTAGGTTTTAAAATCGCACTAGGTAAAACCAACTAAAAACCATACTCCTAAAATAAACTACTTAAAGCTGTTTCAAAGTTGTGTTAAAATTTTGAAATAAAAAGAATTATCTCAAGATGAGAGGTGAAAATAAAATGCAGAAATCCTCCAGGCCTTCCAGCCTCGAATGCCCTCCCTCTGACACTAGAAACTTGGAAAACGGGTTA